CAAATACTGATATAGTATACCGGGTCCGTCTGTATACAGGTACTTTTGACTAAATCACGGTACATTTTGGCGGAATTGGTTACTGGAAGCGTTTCCATGTTGCATTGTGTGACATTTTAATATGCTTACAAAGTCCTGTGTTCTAAACGTATTCATATTACAAATTGACAAGCGGATATTGTGAAGTGGATATTCACAATTTTCAAACTTCGCTGTTAGATTACATCAATTTTAACTTTAATTCACGGAAGACAGTCGAGTTGTGATGTGTGTGTCACTGTTTCTAGTCGGTAGTTTGGATTTTTGGGAACTGGCTGTTTATTCTCTTTCTACTTTGAATGTAGAAATCTTACTTTTGGGAAAATACAAACAGGTAATTTAGAAGCCATATCTAAAGAATATCGACAGTTGTCAGGTGCAAACTATCATGTATTGGAAGAAAACTATTGCTTTCATATTGAAATGGTGCAACCACACTGTGGATAAATTGTGTCAAGATATTTCAGAGCTCTGGGTAAGTGCATAAAAACAATATTTAATTGACTAACTAACCTCTCACAGCAAGTCACTCTTTGCCTCTTTACTAATTGTTGACTAACAGTATAATTATATGTTGTAGAAGTACACTAGTAATATTATTATTTTTTGTGAATCGACTTTTGCTTCGCGAACACTGGCAGTAAACTCTGGCAAAAACTTCTGATTGTTCATCTACTTATTATGCACATTTGCAGTTGCACGGTCTGTGTTATTTTTCTAAATTGTCTTCAGCTTCGCGAACATTGGCTGTAAACTCTGGCAGAAACTTCTGATTGTTCATCTACTTCTTATGCATATTTGCAGTTGTACGGTCTGTGTTAATTTTTGTAAATTGTCTTCTGCTTCGCGAACACTGGCTGTAAACTCTGGCAGAAAATTCTGGTTGTTTATCTAATTCTGGGCTTTAGTCTTGTTCCGGACACTGTTTTGAACAACGAGATCCGGTATCTATATGGGGATTTTTGTGTTTGATATGTGTATGTTGCACAGCATTTGCAATTATACGGTCTTGTTTAATTTGCTTAATTACCTTTAAAATAATATACCATTCATGATACTTAAACGCATTGTTGCATGCAGTATTCAAAAATATGTGTATATATATATATATATATATATATATATATATATATATATATATATATATATATATATATATATATATATATATATATATATAAGAGACTTCAACTGCACAGGAAAAGATCCTGAAACTTATTAATTTTTACTAATTATAAGGTTTTTTAACACAACCATTTATTGACTGGCTTTTGTTGATGAGATTAGTATCAGAACTCTTCGCTGGCTGCTAAAGGTGGAGACGGAGCACATATGGGAGTGCCCCGAACTGTGCTGTCAGTTCTTGAATCAAATCAAATCAGATAGGAGATTAGGACATGGTGTGTATAAATTACACAGTTGTATTATATACAGTAGTATTATATATACAGTAGTATTAAAGCATTTCGAAAGACCGTGTTTCAACAGCGAAATGCAACATATTGCGTGGATTGCATTATATAAACATTTACACCAATGAGCGAAGTAGTGTAAACCAAACATAATGCAGGCACTACTTAAAAGCATACACTTGGAGAGTAAACAAGTAATTTCCTGCATGCAGCCTAAATTCACCAGTAGGGATGCCTCAAAAGTGTGTTAACAGTGCTGTTTTCTCTGTTAAATATGGGGAAAGTGACGTTTGCAAGCCAGAAAAAGTGATAAGCAAAATATTGTCTATTTTTTAAAATTCGAATTTGAGTCTTAAAGCAGAGATTTTGAATAAAAGAAACCGATATCTATCGATTCCAGTCAGACAAACTGTCTGCGTGGCTTGATACTTAAAAGTTCACACCTGTTTGCGATTCGATAAATATGTTTTTTTTTTTCTTTAAGTAAGCTTGATTTATCAGGCAAGAATTGATTTCAACACTAAGCACTTCACGAATAGCTGACTCAACCTTCAACTTTGTGCAAGGCATGCAGGTGTTCAAGGGAACGAACGTGCAGACTATCTTGCTAACACTGCGGTTGCTATGGCTGGTCCAGTACTGGACACAATTGATATTATCAATTCCATGCGCTTCACAAACCGTACAGAGAAGCACACCAAAGGACATGACTACATATCCCTGTCTAGACTGATGGAAATGGCTGGAGCTGCAATAAATGAACATTTAAATAAGGGGACAAGACGTTTCATTAACCAACACAGAACAGGCGTCATCTTCTTCTTCTTCTTTCGTTCGCCTGAAATAAGTTATCTATATCAGCAGTTTTGTCTCTTGTATAAATTTCACTGTCGTTGTTAGTTCATTCAGTGGTCCATAGAGTTTACGTTCCACTGTTGTTCTTTCTGGCCAAAAAGTTTGCCTTAATGTGTCAAAATCGGTGCAGTCCTGGAGTACATGCTCTGCGGTCTGGGGCACATTTCCACAAGTGCACATGGCTGATACACCTATCTTGAATTTTGTGTACATGTGGTTACGTAATCGATTGTGCCCTGTTCTGAGGCGGAAGATAATGACTTGTTCTGGTCTGTCCATAATAAAATAGTCGTCTTGTGCTGGGGCTGGTGGTTTCCTGATCGATTTAATGATTTAATGATTCTTTTAGAAACTTCCAAAAAGCTATTGACCAAACTCGATTAGCGTTTGACTATTTCGCTGACTCAGCGAATCAAAAATATACAATAAATTTTTGTAAGTCACATTTACGAACTTTTCGGAGACAAGATGTTTTACAATTGGGTTAAAATTAACGAACAGTTTTGGAATGCGTTTCGTCTGACGGCAATTAATTGTGATCGTGTGAGAGTGTGTTTGTGTGTGTGAGTTAGATTGTGTGTAAGAGAGAGAGAGAGAGAGAGAGAGAGAGAGAGAGAGAGAGAGAGAGAGAGAGAGAGAGAGAGAGAGAGAGAAGGAGAGAGAATGTCAGAGCTAAAAAATACAAGGAACTCACTGAGGATACGTTCTCTCAGTTTTACATTCTGGGCTACATCATGTCTTTAAAGAACCATTTTCTACATGCCCACTTTGATATCTTTCCCAATAACTCTTGCGTGGTTAATCAGAGCAGGGTGAACGTTTCCATCCAGGCATTACAACAATAGAGAAACGATATCAAGGGAACTAGACCACTTCCATGCTGGCTGATCACTATTCCACACTCGTCAAAGATGGTTCTGAGAAGCTGCACCGATGTCAGTGAAGAGACCAGGGAAGTAGAAGCGGCTTTGTACCGGTACGTATTATGTGTCCGTCATAGTGCTCTATAGGTAAAGTAAGTAAAGATCCTTAGGCGCATCGGGCATAAGGGAAGGGCATTCAATATTTGTACAGACCAATCAACACTAGGTGGGTAATGTGTTCAGCATTACGCCGGCCGTCCTTACTTTCAGAGAATATCCATCCTGGTACCCACTTTAAGCTGGGTCGATCTGCAACTCGCTGTAC